TACATTTAGCTGGGTGTGGTGACACACACCTTTAAGTACCATGTCATGAATAGACTCCTTCCTTCAAACCCAGGACTTCCTCCAGGCAATTCCAATTTAGGGCTGTGAGAAGCCAGGGCTGGCTAAGCCAGAAAGCCAGGCTATATGTGGGATAAATCATAGGGAGTGAAGGTAGCCCTCTGGCTGGGGGTGAGAGAGTGGCCAGGACAGGACTCTAGTTGGTGGAGTAAGACTCAGTTCTTCACTGAAGTCTGTCCTTCTCTCTCTTCGGTACAATGCTGCCCACATTCCCCAGGACACTTTGTAAAAGAAAAAACCATTGTTGTAGCTAGACATTGCAGTAAGCCCCTGTAACAACACCCTAGGAAGGAAGCAGAGGCAAGAGAGGACCACCAGGAGTTCAAGGCCAGCCAGTACTACACAGATATATCAAAAATTAAAACACAGGGGCTGGTGACAAGGTGCAGCGGGTGCAGGTGCACGCTGTCCAACCCGGTGATCCGGTGCAGCGGGTGCGTGCTGTCCAGCCTGAAGAGTTAAGTTTAATTGCTAGGACTCACAGAGTGGAGAAGAACACAGAACAGAGCCTGTAAGCTGGCGTCTAACCTGCATTCACCCACCCACAGACCAAACCCCGCACACAAAGAAATACAGCGCACTATTTCGCCAGGTGGTGGTGGCAAACACCTTTAAGTCCAGCAGGAAGGAAAAGCTAGTTGTGTTAATGTGGGAGGAAGCTGTGGAGGACAGCTAACACATCCATTTCAGCACTTGAACGCAGGAGACAGGCACTGCCCAGAGTTCTGTACTACCTTAACCCAAAGAAGACAATGTCTTAAAAACTAGCCAACCAACCATTAGACAAAGAAAACTAGGCTGGAGAGGCAGCTCAGCAGTTACTGGCAGGGGCTGCCTCTCAGAGGACCTGGGTTGAATTCCAAACACCACAGGGCACAAACACCTGTAACTGCAGCTCTGGGATTTGAGGCTCTCTTCAGGCCTCGGAAAGCAACATACACACACACACACGCACATACATGCATGGTGCACACACGCACATGTACACGCGCGCACACACACATGCACACACACATGCAAGGTGCACAGTGCATTATAGACATACACTCAAACACATAAAATCTTATTTAAAAAAAGAAAAGAGAAAGCCAGAATTAAGTACTATTCACAAAACTGCGAAGATGGAACCGATCTTAGGGCCAAGCCTGCTCAGATGGCCCCATGCCTGTCAGGCTTAATGGAGAGTAGTCAAACTGCAGTTTTTTTTTTTTTTCCTGAAGCTTAAGTAATGACACCACATAGTATCTTTTGTTCTTTTTAATTTTTTTTTTTTTTTTTTGATTTTCGAGACAGGGTTTCTCTGTAGCTTTTTGGTTCCTGTACTGGAACTAGCTCTTGTGGACCAGGCTGGCCTCGAACCCACAGAGATCCACCTGCCTCTGCCTCCCGAGTGCTGTTGTTGTTGTTTTTTTTTTTTTTTGAGACACAGTCTCATGCAGTCCAGGCTGACCTCAACCTAGCTATGTAGCCAAGGATGGCCTAAACTTCTTGCTTCCTGCCTCTGCCTCCCCGTGCTGGGGTAACAGCTGTGCCTTGCAGGTTTGCATGGTGCTGGGGGCGGAATCTCTGGCTTTCTGCATGCCAGACAAGGCCTCTACTCACTCAGCTACAGGAGTGTTGCTACTCAACCCAGGCTAGCTACAGTGTAGTGGTCTTCTCGTCTCAGCCTCCCCAGTGCGGGGATCATAATGGCGCCAGCCCAAGCTTCTTACCCAATTTACAAAACAGGTTCCAAATCTTGGGTGTCACAACTGCACAGCCTGAGACTGTGCCTTGAAGACAGCCGTATTTGGCGAATGCATGCCCAGATGTGTCCACATGATGGCTGATTTCAAGGGGCTGGGGCAGAGAATGGTTTCTGTGGAGTGTATAGGCCAGGCAGGAAGTAGGGGATTCTTTTTTTTGGGGGGGGGAGTTTGAGACAGGATTTTTTTGTAGCTTTGGAGCCTGTCCTGGAAGCTCACTCTGTAGACCAGGCTGGCCTTGAACTCACAGAGATCTGCCTGACTCTGCCTCACCAATGCTGAGATTAAAGGTACATCACCATCGCCCAGCTAAAGACTGATTGATTAATTTAATGTATATGAATGTTCTATATGCCTACACATCAGAAGAGGACAGAAATTCCTACTAGAGATGGTTGTGAACCATCATCGGGTTGTTGGGAATTGAACTCAGGACCTTTGTCTGGAAGAGTAGTTGGTGTTCCTAACCACTGAGCCATCTCCCTAGCCATGAATCTCACTTTTGTAGACCAGGCTGGCTTCAAACTACTGAGATCTGCCTGCCTATGCCTCCTGAGTGCTGGGATTAAAGGCGTGCACCATCGTTGCCCGGCAAATGTCAATCTTTTTTCAATTCATCTTTTTTATGTTCATTGGTGGATATGTATCTGTGGGAGGGTGTCAGAAGCTCTGGAATTGCCACGTGGGTGGGCCACCCGAGAGCACAGATGTCCAATTAAACCTGGATATCTTTTAATTTGGTCTGATTTGGTCTGACTGGGATTATTTGTGTCAGCAGAGAGGCTCATCTCTCGTTGGGGTCCACAAAAATAGTAAAATAACTAGCATGGCTTTTCTGATGACCCTCTTCCAGTGTAATGACCCAAAGTCCTGGTTTTTCTCCAGAGTCCCTTGGCTCATGTGGCCTCCTGTAAGTTAGATGCAGCGCCTAAGGTCTCTGGCTTTCTGACGTGGATCACATCATGTGGATCACATCATGTCCACACTAATCTCCCACTTACCGGTCTTGCAAGTGACCATAAACTGATCCTGTGGAACCTATTTTGGTCTGATAGCTGGTCACAAGACACTCTTTATTCCAGAAAGGTCCTGGCAGACAGTCCGAGAAGATTGCAAAGAAGCTGATTCTTTTTGTTTGTTTGTTTGTTTGTTTGTTTGGTTGGTTGTTTGGTTGGTTTTTCGAGACAGGGTTTCTCTGTGGCTTTGGAGCCTGTCCTGGAACTAGCTCTGTAGACCAGGCTGGTCTTGAACTCACAGTGATCCGCCTGCCTCTGCCTCCCGAGTACTGGGATTAAAGGCGTGCGCCACCATCGCCCGGCGCAAAGAAGCTGATTCTGCGGACATTGGCCAATCCAGGTTCTCTGGTGCCCGTGTCTACCTTGCTGGCAGCCATTGCTCAAGCCAGACAGTCTGCAGTTTAGTCAGGGCCGCTGCGTGAGGTCCCCATGAAGCATCAGATCCTGGCTCCTTAGTCAACAAATCAATTAGAAAGTATTGCCTACTCTTAATGTTAAACCATTTCTCCGGTCCCTACTATTTAGTCATTAATTTTATTTCATCTTTGTTTGTTTGTTTGTTTTCAAGACATTGTCTCATGTAGTCCCGGCTGTCCAGGAATCTGCCTGCCACTGCTTCTGGAGTGATTAAAGGCATCTCACACAGGTCAGCCTAGGTGGAATTATTTGTGATCCTCCTGACTCAGCTTGCTCATGCTGGCATGAACCCCATACTGCTGGCATGAACCCCCATGCTTGGCTTCACTGTTTTGTTTTATTTTTTAAAATGTCTGAGTGTTCTATCTACATGGATGCCAGTACAGATGGATGAGGGCATTGGATCCCAGTACAGATGGTTGTGATCCACCAACCATCTGTGCTGAGAATTGAACTCTGGACCCCTGGAAGAGCAGCCAGTGCTCTTACACCCTGAGCCATTTCTCCAGCTCCGTTGGTGTCACCGTTCATCTGCATCCCCGGAACTTTCGTTCTTTGAGACAAGGTTTCTACTGCCTCTGCCTTCAGAATGCTGAACTTTTTCTTCTTTTTAAGATTTATTTATTTATTATGTATTCAGTGTTCTGCCTGCGTGTACACCTGCGAGCCAGATTACATCACAGTGAAAGACTCTCGAAGAGGTCCTTCTCTCGGGAGGAGACCTCCCCTACGCCAAGGAACAGGCCGAGACCACACGGATGCAAATCGCAAGAGGTTTATTGGGTAAACACAGGTACCTGCGGGCAGCAAAGTCTTTCGGAGGACTTGCGCACCTGCCGACTGGAGGGTGGGCTTTTTCTAGGGAAGAGCAAAAAGCAAGTTTACAGAAGCAGAAGCATGGTTATGGGTCAATCAGAATGAGGCGGGGGCATGAATGGTTTCCTCTCTCAGCATGGGTGTCAGCAACAGTCATCCTGTTCCTATCTTATAGATATCCTGTTTTGCAGTCAACCTGCTTTGCTGATGTCCTATCTTATTGATATCCTGCCTTGCAGTCATCCTATCTCGTAGACACCCTGCTCTCCTAAGCAAATGGAATGTTCTTATGAGAGCAGGCTGGCTGCTGATCTGAGAATTTTTCAAGCAAACAGGACGTTCCCCCGGGAGTATGCTAGCTGCGGGTTTTGAGGAGGGGGTCTGTAGGGTCTTTCAACAGATCGCTGCGACCACCACATGGCTCTCCCACCACAGTTTGTCTCCTGGGCGGCGGGATGAATTCTTATGTGCACTAGCCGTGTTGGGGGATGGAATCAGGGGTCTCCTGGATGCTAGGCAAACACCTTACAAACGTGCTATAGCCCGAGCCCCAATTTTTATTCAAGAGTCCACATATTTGCTTCATCCACTGTAGGGATGGGGAAAAGGAGGGCCTGAGTGGACCCGGAACCCGGGGAACTTCCCAGTAGTCTGAGGGCAGATGCTCTTTGTGTGAGTTTCCTTCTGCCTCAAGTCTCCCCTCTGTGGATGTCTCAGTGTCAAGCAGGGTCCATGTTTGGGCCATCCATTCGCTGGTCTTGAACCGGCAACACAGCGCTCTGGCCCCTGCAGGACACAAGGAAAAAGGTCCCCAGATACACTAAGATGGCGTGAACGGGTACGCGCGCGGCCTTATGGGAATTGTAGTCAGCTCTCCGACTCGAGCAGGCCCCGCCCACAAACTACGTTCCCGTCGTGCCCCGCGGCGGTAGGCGGGGCGGCCCGGTTGCTAGGACTTGGAGCGGCGTGGCGTTCTCGCGGGCGTCCCTCAGGTGAGCAGCGGCCGTAGGGACTCGGCTTCCACTGTTCCGGATACGCCACCGGGCAGCGGGGAGAGCGACACGATCCGGTCGGTGGACGGGAAAACTAGGCCTTGCCGGGGTCGACCACGTAGGCTCCGGGAGTGCTGCGCGCGTTCCGGGAGGTGGTGGGCGTGCTCGTGCGCTCAGTCAACGCGAGTACGCGTGCGTCGAGGGCTTTGTACCTACCGCACCCTACGCCGTCGGTTTGCTGCGCATGCGTGTGCCCCTCGTCTCATTCCGGAAACTCTTAATTTCCAGTTGCGTCTGTTCCGGGTCATCGCAGTTAGTCCCCTGCCTCAGGGTTGTCCAAACACCGTCTAAACAGCAGGTGTGCAGTTTCCCTTTAAGCTGTGGTACCCTGTGGGAATTGTTGAGGTAGTTCTGGCGGTACCAGGTATCGAATCCTGGGCTTTGGTCCTGTTAGGTGGGCACCGCTAACCCACGTCCCTTCCCTCCGGTAGCTGATTCCACCCTTAGCCCCTCACTGGAGGTGGGTAGGTTGTCACGCTGCCCTCTGCCTTCATTCCTTTTTATTTTTTATTTCGGAATATTTTGCTTTCTGTCTCAGACTGGCCTGGAACTCAGCATCCTGCTTATTGAGGGCCTGGTGTTTTAGGCTTGAGCGTTCAGACTTGACGCCGTGATGCTGCTTGCTGGCCTCCCCTGTAGCCAAGCCAGTCAACAGCCGTGGCCCCTTTCTGTGGGACCCAGGGCCCATTGCTTGCCTGCAGTTCTTAAGTGCGGTGTGCTGAGGTTCCTCGGAGAGAGGCAGACTTCCTAAGCTACTGTAGGGAGTGTCGGCGGGCCCCAGGTCCCTGTCGTGGGCTCATGGGCAGGAGCTCCTTTTGGGACCTGTTTGCATGCTGACTCCACTTATGCTGGTGTCCGCTTCAGTCCCAGCACGTGGGAGGCAGTGACATGAAGGTGACCGCAAGTTTGAAGCTGATCAGATAGACATGGTGAGCTCTCGGCTAGCTTGGGCTACACGGGGAAACCTTGTCTCAGAACAGAACAAGAAAGCAAGCATACAGAATGGACCTTGAAGGACCCCTCTGGCCACAGCCTTGGCTACCATCCTGTGGCTTTCAGACTCCTCCCCAGAGGTCTGTAAAGCCAGGCACCTGTCCCCAAGGCCTTCTTTCTGCGTCCCTTGTTTGTAGTCTTGAGGGGACAAATGCGGCTGTGTCTTCTGCCCTGCAGACAGTAGGGCTTTGTGGTCCCCGCAGTTGGTGAGGGTTGTAGGCGTGCTATGTGCCTGGGAAGGCCAGATGTCACCATGGCCCCGCATGGGCTCTGCCTGCCCTGGGGCCTGTCAGAGGCAGCCATGGTGCCACTAGACTCTCAGACGTGCCTGGCACCATTCTCCCCATAGAGCCATGCTCCGCTGACCTGGGCAGCCTCGGGGAGCTCTAGAAGCCAGCAGATGCCCACCAGGCCATCACGGTGGCCAGGGACACCACAGGGGTGGCGGTTTGTGGGGGATGCAGACAAGCCCCTAGGCAGCCATGCAGTCGCCTCCCTCGCGGGAGCTCTTGTTCTGGTTTGTTTCTTTGATGCTCAGTATGTAACTCAAGTTTCAGTGTGGCAGCCATGTTCCTGCCACCTTTGAGCCACACTCGCAGCCCCTCCGTGGCGGCGCTCTGATGATGGTGTGTTGAAATAGGAGCGGTGTGGCTGTGTCCCCAACACCCCGGCCGCTTGGCTAGCTTATGCCCGAAATAATAACACACAAACCGTATTCATTGAAACACTGCTTGGCCCATGAACTCTAGCCCTTACAGGCTAATTCTCGCACCTGGACTAGCCCATTTCTAATGATGTGTGTAAGCACCCCAAGGTGCGCTTACCGGGAAGATTCTAACCTACGTCCATCCTGGGGAGCTTCATGGGTCTGCCTCAGAGCGCAGAGCTATCGTGTCTATCCGGCAGAGCTGAGCATGGCGTCTCTCCGGGAGCAGAGCAGAGTCTGACCTCACTTCCTCTTCCGCCCAGCATCCTATTCTGTTTTCTCCTCCTACCTATGCTTTAACCTATCAGGGCCAAGCAGTTTCTTTATTGCTCAGCCAATGAAATCAACAGATCGATATGACACTCCCACATCACTTCCCCTTTTTCTGTTTAAACAAAAAAAGAAGGCTTTAACTTTAACATAGCAAAATTACATATAACAAAACAGTTATCAAATAAAAATTACAATAATCTATATCATAACTAAGGAAAACTATAACTATAGCTAACTATTCTTAACTCCATCAAAGAGTCCAGAAAGATACAATATTACCTAAGCAAACAAGAAATCCAAAGCTCTAGAAATGACAGAGACATCTCGCTGCCTGAACAGTCACCCAGAGTTCCTCTATACCATTGGGGCATCCATCTTGGGCCTACAGGCCCATAGTTTCCAGCAGACATTTCCACAAAGCAGGAAATTTCAAAGGCAGTCACTATCTGCTTGTCCTGAAGAATGTCTTGCAGACTCTTTCATGAATCAGGAACCCCAAAAGGTCATCTCACCTTTAGGCAAGTTCAGCAGTCCTCTCTCTGCGGGTTCTCTGTGTCCAGTTTATGCAATAGTCCAGGCAAGAGCAGTTTCTTGCCCAAATGGCTATCAAACTCCATAAGGATCCTCTTCGATGCCCATCTTCCTCTTGAAGTAGATTGGTGCTGCCAGGAGCAGAGTGTCTCATTGTCATGAAAAGTCCTAAGTTGTTAAAACATTTAATAGCATATTCCGTAGTCTTTGAAAAATATGAAGAATGCCAATCTAACTGAAATATCTATCTATATATCTAGAAAATCTAACTAACATGACTACAAACTTGACTATTATTAATGATTATCCATTAACAACCTACATGCATTACATTTTTAAGTGAACTACACAATCACAATACCTTAATAAAGATCAGAAATACATATACATATAACAAAACTGACCTTAAATCTCTATCAATAAAGCAAAATCTATACTAATGCAAATTATTCATATCTATATCATATCCCTCTTTAAATGTAAAAGAACATTTATAAACCATATTTGGGAACATGGGCGCAGTTTTTTCTCTCCAAACTGCTTCCTGCTGAATGGGAGCGTCGTTAATTAGGTCTTTCATGGTATAACCTGTGTGCTAGTTTCATCTCAGTTGGCAGTTGAGTGAAGCAATTTTCTGAAGGTATTCACAGCAACCGTTCGGGAGGGCATGGTCCATCATACCATATTGGAATAGAAGAAATGAACAGGGTCTCATCCTCTGTGAAAACAAAATAGGAAACTCCTTTCCAAAGTATCATGTCCTTAGATCCAAATTTCAAAGTCAAGGCATCAAAATCTCTACGTTGGATTAGTTCAGCAGCATTTATAAAGAAATATATTTTAGCATCTGTTGCTCCTCGCTCAGCATTCAAACAATTCAAAGAGAGCATAATAGCATACAGTATCAAGATTCTCTGTGTATTTTCCATCTTTGTACAGCTTTATTTTAACCTCTATTTCGTTTATTTTTACTTTTATTTTATATTCTCTATCTCTTTGACCTGGAATAACTCTGTAGACCAGGCTCTACTTGACCTCTCAGAGATCTGCCTGTCTCTGCCTCCCAGGCACTGGGACTAAAGGTGTTTGCTACTACACCTTGAACTCACAGAGATCTGTTTGTCTCTGCTTTCTAGGCACTGGGATTGAAGGCGTGTGCTACCACACCTTGAAGCCACAGAGGTCAATCTCCCTCTGCCTCCCAAGTGTTGGGATTAAAGGCGTGTACTACCACACACAACTTCTCTTTTTCTTACTTCTTTTTTACTTTAAGAATTTCAACTTTTAGTCTGCATACATTTTTAACACTGTAAATCATTTAAAATTTTTCTTTGTCTTTGAATCTCTTTACTGTATATCTCTTTTTCTGACCACACGAGCCTTTAAATTACTGAGCAATATGAGTAGGATTAAAGTCGTGGCTTTGCCAGCTAGATCCAGTCCATTCCTTAGCTTTCCAGCCTCATGGCTGAGGTACCAGTTGTAGCCATGTTTACTGCCACAACTGTGCATGCTGATGGGGTGGGTTCTGGATTCGATAGTAATGAGTGACTGTCTCCACACTGTGTCCGTCCTGTGCTCGATGACTGGTCAGAGCCCTGTAGAGCCCGGCACAGTTATTCCTTGTGCAGCCTGGGAGTCAGCTGATTGTACCTGGCGCTCCGCTCAGGCTCCTCCTTCCCAGACCTGGCAGGATCCATAGCATCCCAGGACAGACCCCCAGCCACAGAAGCTGACGGATGACACTCCAGTCGCATCTTTGTCTCCCACAGTCAAAGCTCGCTGAGCATGGATCCCACCGCGGGCCTCTCAGAGCAGCCTGAACCTGAGAAGACTGGAAGTGAGGAGCAAGAGCCGGTGCAATGGCAAGCCCTCCCTGTCCTGTCGGAGCAGCAGTCGGGCGCCGTGGAGCTGGTGCTGGCCTATGCTGCCCCCGTCCTGGACAAACGCCAGACATCACGCCTCCTCCGGGAGGTGTCTGCTGTCTACCCGCTGCCAGCCCAGCCCCACCTCAAGCGGGTGCGCCCCAGCCGCAGTGCCGGGGGTGCCCATGCATCGGATCTGCTGTTGTGCCTGGCAGGGCCTTCCGCGGGCCCCCGCTCACTGGCTGAGCTCCTCCCCAGGCCGGCTGTGGACCCACGTGGCCTGGGCACACCTTTCCTGGTGCCCGTGCCCGCCCGGCCGCCCCTCACCCGGAGCCAGTTTGAGGAGGCGCGGGCCCACTGGCCTACATCCTTCCACGAGGACAAGCTGGTGACCAGCGCGCTGGCCGGGCAGCTCTTCTCTGCGCAGGCGCGAGCGGCCATGCAGAGCCACATGCAAAGGGCCGTGCGTGCCGCCCAGAGAGCAGCTGCGCAGGGCCTGCGGGCGGTGGGCGCTGTGGTGGTGGACCCAGCCTCTGACCGCGTGCTGGCCACAGGCCATGACTGCAGTGGCACCGCCAGCCCCCTGCTGCACGCTGTCATGGTGTGCATTGACCTGGTGGCCCAGGGGCAGGGCCGTGGCACTTGTGACCTCAGACGTTACCCAGCTTGCTCCTTTGCCCCGGCCTCCACCGCCCAGGGTGCACGTCCTGGCAGCGTGCGCAAGCTGGAGGAGGATGAGGACAGCCTGCCCTACGTGTGCACTGGCTACGACCTGTATGTCACCCGTGAGCCCTGCGTCATGTGTGCCATGGCCCTCATCCACGCCCGCATCCAGCGTGTCTTCTATGGGGCGCCCTCACCAGACGGCGCCCTGGGCACGCGCTTCCGTGTCCACGCGCGGCCAGACCTCAACCACCGCTTCCAGGTGTTCTGTGGCATCCTTGAAGACCAGTGCCGCCAGCTGGACCCCGACCCATAGGCCTGGTGACCGTCTGCTTCCAGACCTCTGTGTCCCCTGAAGCTCCACGGCCTTGGACCCAGGGGACCCACCCTCTGTATATGTCTAAGGACACTGACCGCCTGTGTCAGCGTGTGTGGGACCCTTTAAGCCCCAAGACAGCGGCCTCCTCTCTGCTGGCTGTGGCGACCATGGGCGACCCTGCTTACAAGCTCAGTGGCTGTCTTCCAGTCCCCGTGGTCCTCCAGGCTCGGGACAGGGAGCAGCCATCGTGTGTGAAAATAAAGCACCTCAAACCAAGTTCCTGTTTGCACCGAGGGGCCAGGCTGTGTGGCTTTGAAGGGGAAGGTGGCAGCCCTGCTGAGTGCAGCCAGCTCTGGGTGCTTCTAGGGGCAGAAGCAGTTCAGGAGACGCCCGTGCCTGTCTCTGCAGTCTGTCTGGACACCTGTTGGCCTGGACAGTTCATGGCCCTTCTCTGTACCTCTGCTGGGGAGGCTGGGGCTTCAGAAGGGTCCGCCTGAGTGTGGTGGGCTGCTAGGCCTCTGAGCAGGACGCTGCTGCCCTTAGGAGACCGGCCTGGGGGCCCTCCCAGGCTGAGGGGACATGGGGCTTTGCCAGTGGTGAGGGCCTGCTGTGCGCCTGCTGGCCTCGGGCAGATGTGGACAGCGGAGAGTGACCCAGCTTAGAGCAGACGTCGGGCTTGGGTTCCTGCCTGCATCTTCATGTCCTCCCTTACAACCTTCCTCCTCCAAGGAAAGCCAGGGCCTGTTGCTACTCAGATGACCAGGAGGCAGGGTGGGGCAGGGTGAGGCTGTGAGGTGGCCCGTCTTGATGCTGTGGGACTGTGTCCAGCCAGTGGCACCTGGTTGAGCCTCTGAGACCAGGGTGGACCTGCAACCTTTTTACTTGAAACCTCAGGGGGGCTTCCCCGGCCTCCTCAAAGCCACTCAGGTGACTGGGGCTGTGCCAGGGCCCTGTGAGCTCTCCTGGGTGAATTCCACACCCACAGCTGCTGTGACCATGTGATTATCACATGGCAGGAAGCTCTGTTCTGGGTGGTTCCCTTGAATAGGAGTCCCGAGGGGTGTGTCGGGAACACTTAGGGTCATCTGTGGGTCAGTGTTGGGAGGACAAAAACTGGGGACATCCTGGCCTCAAGGCTGCAGGTAGAATCAGCTGGTGACTTCACCCTTCCAGACTTCTCTGTGGGGAGGTGACATGCAGCCCCACACCTGGGCCCAACACCTGCTGGGCAGCAGCCATCAGGGCCTGTGTGGGTGGAATGGGCTTGGGTCTTCCTGGGCCTGGTGGCTGCAGGGGCCCTGATACTAGTCTCCTTTCAGGTGGCCCTTTCTGCCTGGGTGCCAGGCCAGCTGGTACAGAAATGGCAGGTGAGATGTCCTGTTCCCCAACTCCCACTGAAACCCTGGATTCCTGAGCTGTGGTTGCAGACCTGACCTGAGCTACCCCAGCTTCTGCCTTGTGACATGTTTAGTGCTACAGTGGGGCATAGAGCCACCAAAGAGCCACCACCTTCCAGCGTGCAGATTGAGGGTTTGAAGTGCGGCTCGGAGGGGTGTACAGGGGACCCTGGGGCTGTGGAGGGCCTCTGGCTGCCTGCCAACCTAGGGCGTGTGCACTGCCTGGCCACTCCTTAGTGGTGTGGCCCTGGCCGCAGCCTTCGAGGGGACTGGAGGGCAACCTACAAAGGTTCGTGTCCTGTGCAGCCTCGGTGGGGTCCTTCTGCAGGAAAGGAGAACAACTTCCCGCTGCTGCCGCGCTTTGTCCCGCTGAAGCCCTGCTTCTACCAGGACTTCTCTGAGGAGATCCCCGTGGAGCACCGGGTGCTGGTGAAGAGGATCTACCGCCTGTGGATGTGTGAGCTTTGCGGGGCGGAGGGGTTCCGGTCCCTTCGTGCGGCTCCTCCGTCCTTGCTGATCTGCCCCCACTCTTCTCCACCTGTGTCCCCCTCCAGTTTACTGTGCCACTTTGGGGGTGAACCTGGTGGCCTGCCTGGCCTGGTGGATTGCGGNGCTTTGGAGCCTGTCCTGGAACTAGCTCTTGTAGACCAGGCTGGCCTCGAACTCACAGAGATCTGCCTGCCTCTGCCTCCCGAGTGCTGGGATTAAGCGTGTGTCATCCTTATAGTGTCTACCCAGCCCTATCTGGGTCACACTCCCCAAGTGTGTGCCGCTGCCCTCCTCCCAGTCCCTAACAAGCCTTGGAAGAGTGGGTGTGCTGTGAGGAATTCTAATGACACAGCCCCAAAGCTAACGTGAGCCCTGCACATGGAAGAGAAGCTGCACATGGCCACTCTGGCCTTACGGCCTCTGCAGGTTTTTGTTTGAGTATTTTTTGTTTTGTTTTGTTTTAATTTTTAGAGACAGTATCATGTAGCCCAGGCTAGCCTCAGACTCACTGTGTAGGCTAAGACTGACCTTGAACTCCTGATCCTCCTGCCAGTTTACTGTGCCACTTTGGGGGTGAACCTGGTGGCCTGCCTGGCCTGGTGGATTGCGGGTGGGACAGGAGCCAACTTCGGCCTGGCCCTGCTCTGGCTGCTTCTCTTCACTCCCTGCAGTTATGTGTGCTGGTTCCGGCCCGCATACAAGGCCTTCCGGTAAGGCAGGTCCAGGGGCCGGCAGGCCATAGAACCTCTCTGACCTGCTGGACTTTCTGATCCATTTCCAGGACAGGCTTCCGCCCAGTTAACTGACATTTGTCCTCCACTCATCCAGTGTGGCTGCTTGGGTCATGGGCAGCAATCTGTGACCGTAGGCCACAACCAGCTGCTGGGATGGAGTCCAGGGTGTGAGACTCAAGGCAAGTGGCACTGGCTGAGCCATGTCCCTTCCTTGGTGCTTTGAAGTTTGGTGGAGTTACACCACAGAGAGGTCTGGTCACAGCGCCCCTGCCTCAGTCTAACTTGAGGGCACCTGCTAAGTCGTCTTTGGAGTCCGTACCCTGATTTTGGGTTTACAGTTGGCTCACGCACTATAGTTTCCTGAACATAATGCATGCTGGGATTGCAGTGTGGTGGGTTAGCCTTGCTGGTGCTTGCTTCTAGAAGATTCCATCATGCAAAAGTCTGCTCTCCGGCCTCCACAAAGCCACTTCTGTTTCTGGACAGTGTCTGTTACGGAGTCACACACGTGTGTGACCTCTCCCGTGTTTGTCCCACTGCGGTGTGTGTCAGCTGCATGCCTGGGTGTCCGTCATCCATCCACCTTCAGTTGTCTCTCCTCAGCTGGCTTCTCAGGGACAAGTGTGCCTGAGTTACAGACAGAGGCTGGAGTGGGGCAGGGGGACTCCACCAAGCCAGAGCGGAGGCTGTCTCCTCCCACTCTTCGAAGCCCCCTTCCTTTGCCGTTGGGGTGTCTAGGCTTTATCAGCTTGCCCTGTTGGTGGGACCCCCAAGTTCCTCCAGGCCGTCCCCAGAGACACTGGCTGAGTGCTTGGTGGAGGGTCCGTAGGTCCATCAGGGACCGGGGACTCGGTGCTTCCTCCCCACCGTGTTCTTTCCCTTGCAGAGCCGACAGCTCCTTTAACTTCATGACGTTCTTCTTCATCTTTGGAGCACAGTTCATCCTGGCCGTCATCCAGGCCATTGGCTTCTCGGGCTGGGGGGCATGGTAAGCTGAATGAGGGATGTGCCTGTGTGAGATCCTGTGCCTGTGTGAGATCCCTGTGGGTCAGGCTCGGACTGTGGACCTTATCGCGAGCGGCCAGCAGAGGGTGCTGCCGAGCTGCTCGTGGCCCTGCCAGTGCCACCCTCTTAGATTTCATCCTAAAGCGACCCTTTCCTGCCACTCTGCCCGGGCTGCCTTGGACAGACACACTCCATTTCTGGTTTTGAGGGTCTCACTATATGGCCTTGACTGGCCTGGACCTGGTAGTTGAAGTTACGAGTTTTATCTGCCTCACTCCTGAGTACTGGGATAAAGGCATGTGCCGCTGGGTCTGGGCCCCCATTTCTTTCTCGCGTGTATTACACCCCAACAGTTCTCCTCTGCTCCACTCTTCCCAGCACCTCCCTTTCTTCCAGATCCATTTACTCCTCTTCCATTTCCCTCCCAAGGACGTCAACCAAACAGGAATAATGAGTTACAGTAGGAGCAGGCACAGCCTCGTGCACGGCTGTGAGACAGCCCAGGACAAGGCTCCCGCACTCCCGCTGTTGGGAGCCCCTTAGGTGTATGCAGAGGACTTAGGTCAGGCCCTTCTGGGCTCCATGATTGTCGCTTCAGTCCCTGGGAGCCCTTAGGAGCCCTGCTCAGTTGACACAGTGTGGCCTCCGTTTCTTTTGTGCGTCCTCGTCGAAGTCCATGTAAGGTCCACGGGCATCCTCTTCCCCTCCCTGTTTCTCATATGAACCCTGCCCCCTACTTTCCCCAGCAGCTGGAGTCCATAGCCTTGGAATGGGCTGTCACCCACTCCATCCCTAGCCATGGCATCTCCAGGATGGATGGCTGCCGAGGAGGGCTGTTTAGTGTGTCCCACCCAGCCCCACGTACTTGGTCATTTAGTGGTAGCATGGAGAACGACCTGGAGGAATCAGCAAGGCCTTGCCTTAATACTTTTTTTGAGATGTGTTTGGTGTGTTTTGTTTTTGTCAGTCACCCTTTGGTCCCTAACTGAGCTCCAGCTCCTTTACCTCTTGATCCATTGGAGCTCTGTACATATGAAGGATGAGGCCTATTTACACATTCCTTGTTGATTTGTCAGAGCTCTTTGCGTGTGCTGGGCCCTCCTTACCCCTCTCTCCCTTTTCACTCTGCAGTGGCTGGCTGGCGGCTGTTAGATTCTTTACGGTCAATGTTGGGGCTGCTGTGGTCATGCTGATCCCGGCCATCCTGTTTTCCTTGTCTGCTGTCATGATGGCCATCACTCTTGTGAAGGTAAGTTGGCAGGTCTGTCTCCACAGAGCACCCGTGTCTTCAGGTGTGGCTGTGAAGAGTTTTGTCACCTGGGAACTCACAGGCTTGGTTGGGGAGGACACATGGCCTTCTGCTAGGTGTGCAGGT